ACAACTAAATAGGATCCCACCCTTAGCTTCCCCTACTTGTACTCCGCGAGGCAGATCAGACCTCCTGAACTTAAAATGAGAATCTACTGTAGGGATAGTGCGAAATATGAGCATTAGCGTGGCCAAAAAAATCAGAGGCTAGTGACATACTTCCCGGAACGTCTACGCGCAGCGATTTGAATGCATCCGTGAGACCGTGGACCTCCATAATCTCCCAGACACGAGGCCACATCCCGATGCCCGCGCCGACAGTGCCAAAGCTAGACGTAGTTTCGTAGATGTCTACCTGTACATCTGGTGCACTCTTAGACAGACCGACAGCGAAGGCAAGTCCAGTGATGCCTCCCCCACTAGTCATGGGTATATCAGTTTGCCTGCGACTAACCGCAAGTGCTAAGCTGAGACTCACACAACTGCGACACGTAGACCTGTCAGTTGGCTTTCGAGCTTAGTGCTTTCCATGGGTGCACAACCATATGCGGCGGGAGCTGCGAGGCTGTGAACGATGTTTGGCAGATTGACAGACGCCCCAGATGACGCCGTTATAAAAGTCTTGATTGATGCACAGGCTCGGAATGGCACATATTTTACCACCTTGTACTTGACTCCGGAAGTCAAGTTCTGATGTTACCGAGGTATCACAATCCCAACAAGCTGCGACTAGATGATCATAGCGTCGTGGGATGACCCGTCGCCCCAAACAGACAGAGATATCGTTTACAAAACCTTGGCCGGTGAAGTCGAGCGTAGCTTCAGCCACTCTACAACGGACTTTAAGGCAAACAGTAGATGCACAGATCCAAACAAAGTAAAATGGACACTCAGGGGATTGAACCCTGGACCTCACGCAATTGCCCGATGCGAAGCGTGCGCGCTACCACTGTGCCAAGTGCCCGTTGGAAAATATGCCTCGCGTCACTCCATCACCGCTGGGAAACATATTTAGCATCCAGTTTACAAGGGAGACAAAAATACAAGATCTTGACTGAAACAAACTTGTACAGAGTGGGTAGTTCTAGAGAAGAAAGAGATATGACGGCTGGAATGCGTAGCCGATGTTTTGCGGATGAAAGTGTCCAGTGATGGCCCCTTTAGAAAAAGAATCAAGAGTCGCTGTACTCGAAGAGTCGGACGAGCCCATACGCGGCCGCAGCAGCGGCGCCACCGACCAAAAGTGTACTCACAGCACCCCACACGTATCCTCCCACACCACGTCCAGCAGCGCCAGTCACGCGGGCTTTGACCGCACCGAAGATGAGGAGTACAATACCAGTGACGATGCAAGACCAGATAAGCGCGATGTGTGCGATAGGTTCTGCAAATAGCTAATCTTGAGTCCAGAGCCCGTGACTTGGTGATAGACAACATACCGAAGAAGTATGGCAGTAGCGGGATGAGGCCGCCAATCAGATAGCCCATGCCGATTGTGAGTGCTGAGATGTACATCCGCCGTGAGGGGATCTCCTCAAGGCCTTCTCCGAACTTGAGGAGGAACGCGGTGAGGCCGACAGTAGTGCTCCACCTTAGGCCGGATTCTGCGTCGGAGCTTGAACTCGCACGGTCGCCCTCACCCTCCGATGCGACCTCGACATTACGCAGGTTGTGCGCGACCATCCGGCTCGTCTTCTCATCAACGCCGACTGGACCGAGCACCGCATGGACCTCACGCTCCATTTCACCGTCGCACGAACGGAGGACGCGCGCCGCAGTGTGTTTGCGAAGATAGCGGTAATGGTCGCGCTCGGCTTGGGATGCAAGAAATCCACCAATGCCCATCGAGATGGCACCGGCGATCAGCTCCGCAACGCCGCCTAGGATGACAAGTCGCGATTCGCCGAGTGAAGAGAGGCCGGCCGTTAATGCAAATGGAACTGTAAGGCCATCGGAAAGACCAATAACACTGTGATCAGCGGGAATGGATGGAACGCGTCAGCGCACTCGTATGACGCGCGGGGGAATGGAGACGCACACATCGCGCACAACGTCAGGGTCGATAAGCGTCCGCTCATCATCGTCCTTGAGCTCTTTGCAGCACACCTCGCCGCGTTCGTGTCTGTCGCATTTCGCTGGCAATGGGGTCTCGGTATTGCCTACAGAGTGATTTATTGACCAGACGGGTGGCTTGTTAGTTGCGGTAGCATCGGAGAGGCGGCGGTGAGGGAGAGGGACGGACGGCGCCGACGACGTTGTCGATTCTTCAGCTCCGTGTGCCATGGGTATCGTCAACTTAGCAGAAGACAGAGGAGGGGGGGTTGTTAAGAGGACAGCGGAAGGAACGGGGAGGTGAAAAGGCAAAGGAAAGAGACCGGCAGAGCCCCGTGGAGTTCACTTGAGAGTTGCTCCAAGTCACGTGCACTCGGCTGAGACATAGCCCACGTGCACCGTTGACATGTCGGCGGCTTCTGGTTGGCTGCGGATGACCCAAACTGCATGTTCCTCTCTTCGAATTGAAGCCGGACAGTCAATGTGCAGACGGCAGTCAAAGAGTATTCCTTCTGCCGTATGATAGACCACATTGACGCAGGTCCAATCAGGCTAAACTCACCGCGAGGCAGTGCAAAGAGACAAAAATACTCTATCGCCGCTCTTTTTGTGATAGCAGACCGTCACCGGGCCACAGAAGCGGTCTTCGATAATGCCTGCACATGTCATTTACACAATTGCACGGCGTCCCGGATGAGATCCTGGGAACAAATGAATAGCGTTGGCGGGGTATTTCGCGGCATTTCCAGTAGCACTGAATTCATAAAATACAACAACGCCCATAAATCTCGGACATTACGGGAAAATCGTACACGTACACGGCACACATCTCGCTGGCAGTCGCAATATATTTACTGCTGCTCATCGCCGAAGTACTCGTCCACGAGTGCGCGCTTCCGTAGGTCAAGGATAAAGGCCTCCGTCTCCTCGTGCGTCGGCATTTTTGGCGGGAGTAGGTTCTCTGGTGAAAAAAAGGGAATGAACGCGGCAGCAGCGCGCGCCTGAGCCTTCAATATCTCCTCTGGCGACATTGTCGAGAGGCTGACTGTGCCGTTTTGCGCTGCTGTGTCCGTCCGTGCGCGCTTGGACGTGTCTTCGGCAGGCACGACTTCGTTGTCCGCCATGTCGACATCTCCATCCGGGGCTTTGCGCTTTGCATCTGTGGTTGGTGGGGGCTGCGACTTGGCGAGCTCAGAGATGGTAACAAGAGTGGTGGACCATGATGGACGGGGGAATTTTGGGACAGGCTCGTCTGCTGGGAGGCCGAGCGTTGTCCGCAGGTGTGAGTACGCATCTTCCCACTCTACATGGATCTATAAACAATCTGGGACCAACGAAAACGCACAAGACACGTACCTTCTTCCTCCGCGCGTGCCTCATACGCGAGCAGCATGCCATCTGCCTCGTCGAGGTCACCAAAGTACGTGGGGCCCTGGTTGGTAAATTTCTTGTAGTAGTTTGCGGCCTGGTTCTCCTCATCCTCATCCTTCTTCTTGCTCTGGAACAACTCTTTGACACCAGGCAGCTCCTTCGCCCGGCCAAAGTACCTACAGCAGCGTGTCAGGGATCTTAATTGCCACAGAGATAGTCATGAATGTATTGCTTACTTGTATCCCTTTGTGCCCGGTACCTCTTTTCCATCGTCATCCACCATGGCGACATTTCTCCTGTAGTTCGCGCCTCCCAGAGCAACGATCTGGTTCTCCCAGTGTCTCTTCTCCCTCAACAGCTTGTTGATCTCGTCATTGAGATCCCTGACTTCGTAGTCCGTCAGGCCAGCTGTAACATGACGTTAGGCCCGCGTGTCGCCTGAGATTGCAAAACGTAGCGAGCGTACAGTCTTGGATCTTGGAAACCTTCCTGCTAATCTCGCGCAGAATCTCTCCTCGCCATCGTTCACATTCTCTCAGGCTTTTGCATGCGCTGGCCATGCGCGGCCGGCGATCTGCACGCGTTCCGAGGCCCAGTTCCGCTGCCTGTGCCTCGCGGAACCGGTACAGCATAGACTGTGCCTTCTCTTCATTACGGGCCTGTGGAAAGACGTGAGCAACTACATATAGGCATCCCAGAGCTGTATCATACCATGTTGCGTGATTAAAAAGGAGAAGTGAGGGAGGAAGTGGAAAGGAGCAAGGGGCAAGTGATGAGCTCAGTGAGCAACTTCGGTGAGCGGGCAATGCCACCGACTTGTGCAAGCTTGTACAGCCCAAAAGGGAAGGACCTATCACAACGGTGAAAACAAAATGGACATTCAGGGGATTGAACCCTGGACCTCACGCAATTGCACCATGCGAAGCGTGCGCGCTACCACTGTGCCAAATGCCCATGAAGATTTGGGCAGCCGTCACAGAATCATCGCGCTCCGGCTTTCTCTCGCTCACAATGCAACTAGCATCCAGCAGGCAGCTTTCAGTCCAACAGCCACATGTCGACGACACGGGGAACTTCCAGCTCTGGCCCTGCTTGGTGGTTGTCTGAAATATGTGATTCCACAGACCGCAAACCTGATATAGGGAATGCTATGTAGCACTCATCATCGCACGGTCATTGTACATGCCATTCACAAATCACTGATCTTTTATGACCGCTAAAACACGCTGCACGTACTTAATGCGACCTGGCAGGGCTGGCACAAGTCTGCCATTGCGATCTCTCGCTCAGTGGGCTTGTGCCAACCGGGCTACTTCTTACTCGACGGTACAGACGGTACAGGAGGTTGCCACTATGGTATTGTCTGGGAGAGCACCACATCATTCAATCCCTTGGGACCGCTGGTTCCGAAGGTGATCAACACATTCATTCGTGTCTTCGCATTGATACATACTACATATCATTCTGTCCTGCTTCCACGAACTATATAACTCTGTAAGGCTCAGCATGGAAATCGACGTGGGCAAACAGCTGGTAAATAATCAGCTGGTTGAGGTAGCATACTCATCGAACGAGTGGTGGTGATCTGCGGAGTACAAAAACATACCCCAAGGGGCTTGAGAAAAAAGAGAAACTGCAAAAAGAAATGGACGTTCAGGGGCTTGAACCCTGGACCTCACGCATGTTCACCAGCGACGGCTGACGTTGCAAAGCGTGCGCGCTACCACTGTGCCAAACGCCCATGACATTTATTCACATGCCTACGTACATATACTAACGCCACGTGTGCAGAGGACAATTCACAATCTCCCACAACCTGCTATCCAGACAGGGACCGTAGGGTTTCCATTCGGCCCTCCGCCTATGCCGTCGAGCTTGTCGAGGACATCCCATCCCTCTTTCAGTTCACCAAATACCACATACTTCCCGTTCATTTTTGCAAGATTGCTCTCATCGTCGGTAAGCACGACGAAGAACTGTGATGAGTTCGTGTTCTTGCCCGAATTTGCCATGGCCAGCGCGCCTCGCTTCATCTTCTTCTTCAGCCCCTCCTTCTCATCGTTGAACTTACCACCATAGACGGACTGAAAGTATAAACACATTTTTAGTGTATGAGTCGGGAGTTTGTGAGAGAGTGGGAAGAAAGGGCGTGAGTTCAAAGCCGCACAAGTACGCACCTCACCGCCACTCCCGTCCCCTCGAGTTACGTCTCCGCCCTGAGCCACAAACCCTTTAACGACCCGGTGAATTGGACAATCTAAATAGTGCAGCTTCTTGTTTGGCGCGTTCTTGCACGCGCCCTTTTCGCCCGTGCAGAGTGCCAGAAAGTTCCCCGTCGTCTTCGCTAAGCCCGGAGACGGGTCCAACTCGAACACAAGCCGACCCAGACTCAGTGGGGTCGGTGGAGTGAACCGCATTTGTAAAGAGCTCTGTAAAGGGTACCCCAAGCCGTGAGCTCACGTACATCTTCATCAAAATCCAAAAATGCGATTACATCGAGCTCCTGCAGGATCTCCCGCTGTTCGTCAGAGAGCTGGGATGGCTTGTCCGGAAGACCATAGATTATTGCATTTTTCGCCAGAACTGTGACAGTGGCCTCGTAGGCGGCGGATTCGCGTTCATGTTCTTCTTTGTCTCCAGCGTAAATCTCGAGATAGGTGGATACTACCATGGCGGTCGAGCAGTGAGATGAGAGAGGTGCTTATCGATTCGATTTGCAGACGCCCAGGAATGCATTTCGATCATTGCGTAGCCGTGCACATGATAACTTTGTTTTGGTGCAATTGCTCAAACAAATATCGCAGGTTGCAACGGCCTACACCCGGTGCCTTCCTTATGACTATTCTTGATTCCAGCCTACTGATTGAACGAGATGCCCTACACCACCCCTTCTAGACTCCCGCTTCCAATGTGCAGTCTTCACTCCTCACCTCCTATGTCTTCTCGTATAACACCCAACCGCGATCCAGCATCCTGTTCGTTTTCTTTTTCTATATCGCGTTCGCCACGCGTCCATCCCATGTCCGGGTCGTGCGATTCATCCGCATAGTTGAGCCGTTCGCCAATGTTATCCACGAATGACCTGAAGCGAAGACTTGATTGCGTCACATTTTGTGCCTGCGAGTGTGCCCCCGTGTAGGTTGCATCAGACACATCTGACGCAACTTGTCGTAGGTTGATGAGGAAGTGTGTGATTAAAATCGAGGTGATCCTGTAGTGGGGATGGAGCTGAGTCAGAGCATACAAAGGACCATAAGACAGGGCATCTGACGGTGTCTCGAATACTCCAAGGGAAAAGACAAAGACCTGTCGTATGCGGTGAGTCGGGCAAGTCAATCGTGCGTGGCCTGATAGCTTACATCTGTAGTGACTCCCGCAATGTGCAGGATATTAAGGCCGAGCAAAGCACTGCCAACGGTCGCTTTCAGGCTTGATACAAATGCTTGCACACAACGAACAGACATACACAAAGTATATCGTGCCTATTGCAGACCGCGGCGAGTCCTGATGTTGGAATAAGCAGTTGTGAACAAACAATTTCAACTAACCGTCCCTCAGCAGCATGGCAGTGAATGGCGCCTTTATATTATTCCTGTCCGCAGCTCGCTTCATGGTATACGTCTTTGACCAGGTGATCAGCAGGACTAGAATGTCGCCGAAAATGACACAGAGTCGCGCGCTAACGACCCCTGCAACATTGTAAGCACCACGATCGCTAAAGACATCTAAACCTACATCTGGTGACCATGTCAAATAGAATGCATGCGTGGGCTGTGGATCAGCACTCACTTGATATCTGCTTTCTCAGACACAGAAAATTCGTCTGCGCATCGTCCATCTACAAGTCGAAAGCTCGTCAGTGCGAAGTCTGTTATCTACAAGTTGTGTGCGTGAGCGGCCTGAACGAGAGCAACCGGATGTTTGACCCCACCGAATTTGTGACGACGGGTACGAAATTCAATATGCATACAACAACCGCCAGAGTCCAGTTGCCACCACTGATCGCGTAAATTCGGAATGTTGAGAAGACTTGGACCCCTCAGCAAAATCACCGTCGTAGAATATCGAAAAGTATACCTGTCCAGATGACTATCCGCACGATGGAAATTGCCTCGCCTGTCAAGATAATACCCCTGCAACTAAATGATAGGCGAACATCAGAGTCAGTATGTCTTATTGGATCGCTCATAAAAATCCAGACCTCTTGTAAGACACATACGTAGTTAGCGCTGGTACCCAGACCCTGGAATGGAGGTTGCTCACCGGAATCATCGTGAATGGAAACAATCCAAACAGATCGAGTATCGCGGAGGCGAAATTGATCCAACGGTTGAAGTAAAATAGCATGGTCACACTGTTGAAGCTCCGCCCCCAAATGAACTCGACCTCGCGAGAGAAGGTAGTGAGATGATCATAGAGGAGCAGTGCTGTGGGATTCGTCATAAGTAGGGATCTCACAGGCAATGCCGCGTTCCATACCGCTTGACGCAACGGTGCAGTACGATTCTACTGAACTGTGCACATTGTGTTTCAGCGGAAATGCTTGGTATATGGGAGAGAACCCACTCTGTCCGCAAAGTGGAGATGATCTGTTTCAAAGTCTCGGATGCAAGAGACATCGCACAAACGCTAGCGTGGTCTTATCAGCCGTATGAAGGGTCTCCCGAGTTGTGGCACACTCGAGAGAGGTGCGAGACCCATGAACTTTATGGGGTCCGCAAAGCTGCATCTGATCTGCTGCGTCTCCGGAAGGATTCAGCAGAAGGCTTGTCTGAGGAGTCCGGTGCCATTGTGGCGTCCCGCAATGAGCTGATTCACGCTATCTACGCTCCAGGGATCAGCAGGATCAAACAAGGTGATTGACAGTTTTATTGATCCTCAGGGGGGTCATCGCGAGGCCCAGGATCGTCGACAACGACACCAATCGCAGGTCTGAGCCTAATTTGCCGACCTATGCCACGAAAGATATTATAAACATGACATTTGGAGCTCACGACTGTTGCAGTACAGAGCGGCCGAGGTACTGAAGAATACAACGGGTGCCGCTGACGTGAGACCATTGAAAGCCGCAAATAGCTTCGCTGAGAGTTGAAGCATGTGCATGCGTGATGCATCATGCATCATGCATGAGTGATCTATACTTATGCTTCGAACTGGTAATTGACCAGTATGAGCGCTCTTGAGAAGAGTCGCATAGCCCACGCTTGCAGCAAGTGAAGGCCATAGCCAAACGTTGCGTCATCAGGACGCAGCTAAGGCTTGTGTCGGAATATATTCCCACTCGGTTTTCTCGCGATCGACATACCATGAGCTTGCTGCGCTACTCTGTATCATCTGAGACCGCGACATCCGCTCTCTGCCGTTATCTTACAGACTTGATGTGCAGAGGGGATTGAGAAAGTTGGCGAGGGACGGCGCAGAGGTGTGAGCTGGAGAGCAAACGAGAGCGAAGGAAGTAAATAGTGTGGAGGGACCTATAGTAGCTGGTCGTCATCCACGGCATACTCGTATCTCTCATTATTCATGTTCCAGATGATGTGCTTGCAATCTGATTCATGCTTATACTTGCGAGTCCTGTCTCGTCCAGCTTATGCCCCAGGTTGTCCAACCAGTCCTTGTCCATGATCGATGACGAACGTGTAACGTTGGTGCCCCATGTTGTCGGTAGATGCCTCCAATCGGATGTCGGAGGTATGGATTTCGACAGATAGTCAAAGCATATTTATTGGCCCCCGGTCGGCCGTACGCGATTTGTCGAAGGTTCGGCGAAGGGTGCGAGGAAGGTGATGCGTTGATGAAAGCCTATAAAGTAAAGTAATCTGTGATGGTGCATAGGTGTCAAGTCGCAATCTCGTGGGAACTCCAAAGGACCCAGACATCATCACATAGAAAGGAATCTGTGGGTGCGTACAAGACTCGGCAAGGATGTATGTAACTGGACGCAATGACCAGGACATACATTGCGCCCGAAGATGTAGTCCAGTCAGCATTCTGACGATAGCCCCTCTGATGTCGCAGCTCGCCGCCTCTGGGTAGCATTGGCGATCGCAGAGAGTCATACAACAGGATGGACTCTATCTTTACGCACGTATTATTCATAACACGGATCAGACGACTGCGCTTCATTCTGCCAGGGCCCGCTTTTGAGGCTGCCCAGTGACTGCCCAGTGACAAAATCGTCTAGATTCAAGGACACAACTGAAGCCTGTACAACACATTTTCGATCTTTCATAAACCTGATCCCAAAAGACTGCTAGGCAAAGGAGACACCAAGAGAGAAAGATGTAGTGCGGCCAATTACGACGGTATGTACTTGCGAAAGTGCTGAAGCGCCCAGGATGATAGCACCCGAAGTGGCAACTCATCTAGGGCCTCGAGGCGGGATCAGTGCTGCTGCATCCTCGTCCAACCGACTGCCAACCAAGCTATTCGTCGTCCTCGTTTCTCGCTTTTCATCTCCCGCGAGTGCATAGGTACCACTACGTTGCCCTCTGAGGAGCCACCACCACTAGTTACGAACTCTGAGACGTCACAAGGTGAACCGCCACCACTCCGACCCTAGGAAGTCATGGATATCGATGTGGAAGAGAACAACGTTGTCCCGAGGAACCTCACAAGACCCACGTATGTCCCAGTAGACGAGGATCATCCTTTTGAGCTGGAGGCGTACGCCTCGAGCTACTCTGGTACGCAGCCTTCGCCCTAGTACGCGTACGCGGTGCTCAGCCACAATGCAGGCCG